TTTTTTCATGAAAAAAGTGTGCCTTTGCACAAAAAAGGTTGAAAAACACTGCTCTAAAGAATGACACAACTCCGCCACACCTTGGTGTAAAAACCATCTGAAGGTTTCTTTGTTTTGGGTTTTTATTGCCAAGCTGTTCCAAGTGAAACTTTAATCGGGGTGCTTTAGTCCAAGCCCAACCCATTCTGTACAAATCCTGAACGAGGCAAGATATGCCTATATTCCCCCGAAAGTGAGCCTCCTGCAAGAACAAGCCTCGCGGACGTGCCGGTGTTTAGAAACTCGGCAGCTCCTTCCCCTCTTTCCATTTCTACAAATGGCCTAATGGAAGCGCAGTCAATAAATTACAATAAATAGTATTAGCGGGGTCCACCTGCCCCGCCGTCACCCGCCTGGAGACGTTGCAACTCACAACTCGGGATACGTTCCGGCCCCACCCGCGGCCGCGCAGTAATAGGCAGCGGCGTTAGCCTCCGGACCTTCGTGGCTCGCGTAGGGGAGCCCCAGGTCGCCCGGACGGCAGGCGAAGGGCAGGTACTGCTCAAACTCGGCGCGGTCCACATCTGCCAGCAAGTCCACGTCGTGCGGGGGCAGCTGCTCGAGCCCCGCGGGGGCCTCCGCCCGGCGACGGGGTTGCTGCTGCTGCTGCTGCGCGTGGTCCGGGGCGGGCGAGGAAGGGTAGGAGGCCAAGGACACCGGGAAGCGACTACGGAAAAAGCTGACGCCGACACTGGGACTACCGGCATTGTTGTTGTGGCCGCCGGCAGGCACGCCGTTGCCCGGATACTCGGAGCCAGGCGGCGTCGGGTAGCCGTAGGGGCCCAGCAGACAGCCGCCTTCCTCCGGGTGGGGTGGCGGGAAGAAGACAGGTTCTGCGCAGTTGCCCCCCTGGGATTCGGGCTCCGGCGTAGGCAAGCTGTAGTTTCCGAAATGGGTGCCCAAAGCCGACAGCGGAAGCGGCGCGCAGTCCCGGTAATGAAAGCTCCCACCGGCGTAATTCGGCTGCTCTGCGTAAGAAAGGCCGAGCCCCTCGCAGCTGCCTCCATTTCCCGCCTCCCCGGGCAGACCCAACTGGTGATGCTGAACTGGGAGGAAGCCGCTCCCGCCGTCCACTGCGCCGTCGTTGCGTTTGAGGCGCTTGACTTGCTTCCTCCGCCGCGGCCGATACTTGTAATGGGGGTGGTCCCGCATATGCTGCAGCCGCAGCCGCTCCGCTTCCTCTACGAAGGGGCGCTTCTCCTCCTGGGTCAGCGCCCGCCACGACTGTCCTGTCAAGGCAAAGGAGAAAGCGGCGTTTAGGCGAGTGAGCTGGCTGTGGCTGGACTCGTGGTGGTGGAAGAATCCACTTCACTGCTTTTGGCTGGGAGTCGCTTTTCCCCCAGACCCGCCTCTGGTTTATGGCACGACTAGATAACTAGTGGTTAAAACTGGTGGCCTCTTCCTCTACCGAGGAAGTGACCGCGACTCGTGCTATTTTCGCCTAGAATTAGGTCCCCTCTCGATCCCGCCCAGCTGTGGAAAGTACGCAAAAACCCAAACAAGGAGGACAAGAAAGGCCAATAACCGCAAGGCGTCATTGTTTATAGAAACTTTCCTGAACTATATTTCAGTTTGCGGCAGTAACTAATACACCGCACCCGATTGCCATTGCGCCCTTAGAAGAGCAGTGACCAGCAATGGCCGGGTGCAGCTGGAGTTAAGATTCTTTTATTCTGGTTCTTTGAATGCTCCGTCCTTTCTCTTAAGGAGCTGCGGGGCAAGGGAGAGTGAGCCAATTTCCCGAAGACTTTTAAGAGTTTTCCTAAAAGCTTACCGGAAGAACCATCGTCGATTCAAGGGATTAGAGTCCCCTGGACTAGCGTCGGATTGCGCAACGCTCTGTAAAAATCACAAACTAGTCTACTGGGGTCAGAGCCTGCTGCTTTCGTTCCTTAACAAGAGTTACCGTACTCTCATTTCCGAAAGCAAGAGGGATTATTCCTCGGCGGGCCGGCACATAGAAAAGTAATACTGCGCAATATTTGGATGCCACATAAGAAAAGTAATACCGCGCAGTATTTCTCAGCCTCCTTTCCCAGCGATCCCCCGCTCCGCCGACGCCTATTGGACTTACCCAGCATCTTGCTAAGTTCCGCGTTGTGCAGATCCGGGTTCTGCTGCGCTAGCCGCTTGCGTTCGTCCTTGGCCCACACCATGAAAGCGTTCATGGGGCGGCGAATGCGGGTCTCTCCTTTGGCCCGGCCCGAGGCTCCCTGCTGTACTTGATCGGCCGCGGCTTCGCCTTTGCCTTTGCCAACGGTTAAGGGGCTGAGCGATTCTGCCCACTGACACTGCATCATGAGGGGAGGGAGAGAGGACCGTCCTTGCGCCTGATCGTCGCTACTGGCGTATCCAGCATCGGGGCTACTCATTTCCACAAAGCTCCCCCGGCCCGGCCAGTGTCGGGCCCCTCTCGGTGCCTCCAAAAGGCGAGCAGAGGAGCGAGTCAGTGGTTCGTGCGCCTCGCCGTTCGCTGCAAATAAAGCTTGGAAGCGCCTCTGATGCAAGCCCAGAGCTCCCACAGTCCTTGAGTAGCTGGCGGCTGTCACCGCGCGACTCCGTTTAAACTGAGCAACAGCCAATCGGATGGTGTGGGTGTGGCCAGGGAGTCTGAGCGGGCAAGGAGAGGACCAGTTTTATCTGCAATTCACCTGTATGGGATTGAGCCAGAAATAACCTTTTTCACCGAGGAGTGGATTTTTCCATGACCTGAGTCTACGTGGAAGTAAATTCCATTGAGCTCAATGGGATCTACTTTCAAGTAAGTAAGAGACTCGAAAATGACTTATTAGAGCTGACAAAAGAAAAGGGGAAAATGAAAGGTTTATCTGTGAAAATGTTTGTTTGTTTGTGTTAGATAGTTTGCTTCTACGTGCACTGAGGGAAGAGTAAGCACTTTCGACCTCTTTCGACCGTTTCCCGTCTGTTGGACCGCGTTTCCTAGACAGGATATGTTCTAACAAATACCATATAAGCAATACTATTTTAAGAACTGGCTTATGGACTGGACTAATTACTTTTTAAATATTGCTTTCTTTATAAATATTGCGGTCGCGTATAATAATTTGTATGTTGTTACTAAGAATATTCACATTTTGGAATATTCTCATACGATAAACATGGCAATTACCGTTAAACTAATTTACTATGGTAATTATTCCATTTGTAAAAGTCTTAATTTAATCTGTTTGCTTCTTTAATTGTTATTAATCTCTGATTATTCCAGCACAGGAATTCGTTCTAGGTTGAAGCAAGTCCAAACCAGCAAGATGGCGTGATGCCTTTTCACAATTAACACACAAAGTGAAAGAGGTTTTAGGACATGCATTTACTCATAACATACCCTGGACAAGATGTTGGAACTGACTTTAACCTTGTCCGGATATAGTAAATCTGATGTCGAAAAAAGTGAAAATACTTTAAACAACCGGAAGTAATTGATACAACGTCTATGTTTTTCCAAGCGATTTCAGCTTTAGCTGTGCCTTTTACATTGGTAGAAAGTTCTATTAAAGTAGTTATACTGTGAACCTTGTGTATTACTTATGTGCACCCAATGTTTGAATTGCATTGTGATATTACTGAAGAATTTACTTTGATTTATATAACAACATTTACTGGTAAGTATATTCGTGGTCTACTTATTTTAGCTAGCAACAGAAGGTTGCATTTCTAAACATATTTAATAGGGCAGCCCCAGTGCAATTTATTCACAGATAAAGATATATCAGAATGCACTTTGGGACTTAAATTCATACTATTATCAGAGGAACGGGTAGCTTCAGGAGTGGTTCTTTTTCTTTTTCTTTTTTTTTTNATGTATATTGTTTTCTCTTACAACATGATATTCTCTATGTAATAATATACATGTGATTATATGTTATGGAAATGAAAATAAAATATTCTTAAACAGAAAAAAGAAGCATTTTTAAGACATACATTTAATACCTTATGTTTATACAAAACTTAAGCTATCCACTTTGCTCCTTAAACAAGTGCTGGGAAGAACAGGCTTCAGTTCTACCCTATCAAGTCTCAATGGCTCTGGATTTAATAATTCCTGGATCTATTAATATTTTCTATCTTTGGTTCTAGATGGGGTTGTGCTACTCCAAACAGAATGTATGCATAATCTGGTGGTATTTCTGGACTCAAATAGTTCCTATTTGAAGAGAAGGAACAGCCATGGCTGAGTGGGTTTTGTACAACTTTACTTTTCTTCTATGGAGATTCTCAGTCATCCAGGTGGTCATGGTTGTCCTAAAGGTGCTTTTTCAAGAAGCAACTGGACTTTCTGGTTTTTCTTTGAAGATGTTTCGCTTCTCATCCAAGAAACTTCTTCAGAAAAGCAAAACGTTTTTAAAAAACAACCAGAAAGTCCAGTTGCCTCTTGAAAAAGCACCTTTGAGTTTACTCACCTTCATTTCCCTAATCCTTTCCTGGACCATGAGACACTGCTCATGTCACTCAGACCAATGTCATCTCCTGAGAAGATTACTGTACTACACGCCACAAGACTGCCCTCACTATCTGGAAGCTGCAGCTGGGTTCAGAATGCAGCATCATGGGCAGTCATGAATACCACCTTGGTATACTCAAGTTACAGTTCTGTTCCAGAAGCTGACTGGTGCTTCCAAGTGAAATTCAAGGTACTCTTTCTCACCTGTAGCATGGAGTTATTTATGGGGCTGCTTCTCCCTAGTTCTTTCCACTCAATAGAATGGAAATGATGGAACAGAAGAAGAGAGAGAAGACTTTAACAACTAGTACCTTTCTGTTTACTTATTTGGGGCAGTCTCCTTTTTGGGTTTTGACCATTTAAGATCAGGAATATATTACTTTGTGGTAGGGTCTCCATCTTAATTCCTTAAAATCATTTATGTAGCAACTTTACACCATTCTCACATAAGAGGTTGGTACCTATGTAAGACATGAATGAGAATTAAGTATACTCAGTGGCATCAGTTTGGCAAGCAGGCCAATTGGAATCATGAGCACTCCATTACCTTGTAATGTTCTGTGACAATTTTAGTGTGTTTTGTTCTCTTACGTTTCCATTTTTATGGCCATACTTTAAAGAATGGCAGGCAACTGGATATCTTCTAGCTCAGGGGTGTCAAACTTGTGGTGTCATGTGACATATAACTTTTGCCCCCTTCACTAAACTGGGCGTGGGTGTGGCCAGCATGTGACACATCCAGCATGCGGGCTGAAAGTTTGACAGAGCTGCTCTAGCTGTTTTAGACTATAACTTCCATAAAGCTTGAGAGCATGTCTAATGAAGTCCAAAACATTAGAGCATGGAGATGTAGTCCAAAGTATTTGAAATGCCTATTTCTGCTTTAATCTGTTCAAGAAGCAAAAGCCAGAAGATAGCTGAATGTTAATTCTAGTGGACAGAATGATTTCAATAAGTATGGTACCATAGTTAATGCTGGGGGAGCCATGGCCAGTGCAGCGAGTGGCAGAGCCCACCAGGTGGGCAAGACCCTCACGAACCTTGCTGCTGCTGGTAACGGCATGACCCTGCCCAGAAGGAACCACCCTGGGAATGTTTCTTTCTTCGCATGCTTTTGGTAAATGTGCCCGGTCCAACATGTTTCCAGCAATTGAAAATTGTTTCTCACATGGACAATTATATGTTGCATGTTCTGGAGTCGGCAATCCAGACAATCTCTATATCTGCACAGACAATGGAACAACAAAAAATATTGTATATCCACAAGCATTGTAAAATTA